TGTATACATATGAATTAGTATTATGTAGGATCAAACTTCTAATCTTCATATCTAGGTTTCAAATAAACTAAGGCTCTCGTTTCGATCTTTTGTGGGCGTGACGTGATACTTTTCAGGTCCGTTCTAACAATATTCCATTCGTGGGTAATCTTGTAGCTCTCGTTCCTATTTCTCCCGCTACACTTCAAGTTCCTGACCCGTTCCTTAATCCAACGTTGCCCAAATGCCCAATTATGGCTTGATCTCGTACATTAAGCAGTCGAAGTATCTAAACTTCCGAAAAAGAACAAATTTGAAAATGGCTGGATTCGAACCGACGACCTTCGAGTTACCATCCCAAATTTGAGCCAAGCGCCTCACCTATTCGACCGGCAAGGCACTTAACTGCTTACTCATGTCTGAAACTTAAAACCAAGATCCAGTAAAGTTTTAAGAATGTCTGAAACTTAAAACCAAGATTCAGTAAAGTTTTAAGCATGTCTGAAACTTAAAACCAAGATCCAGTAAAGTTTTAAGCATGTCTGAAACTTAAAATCAAGATCCAGTAAAGTTTTAACCATGTCTGAAACTTAAAATCTAGATCCAGTAAAGTTATAAGCATGTCTGAAACTTAAAATCAAGATCCAGTAAAGTTTTAAGCATGTCTGAAACTTAAAACCAAGATCCAGTAAAGTTTTAAGCATGTCTGAAACTTAAAATCAAGATCCAGTAAAGTTTTAAGCATGTTCGAAACTTAAAACCAAGATCCAGTAAAGTTTTAATCATGTTTGAAACTTAAAACCAAGATCCAGTAAAGTTTAAAGCTATCTGAAACTTAAAATCAAGATCCAGTAAAGTTTTAATCATGTCTGAAACTTAAAACCAAGATCCAGTAAAGTTTTAAGCATGTCTGAAACTTAAAATCAAGATCCAGTAAAGTTTTAACCATGTCTGAAACTTAAAATCAAGATCCATTAAAGTTTTAATCATGTCTGAAACTTAAAACCAAGATCCAGTAAAGTTTTAAGAATGTCTGAAACTTAAAACCAAGATCCAGTAAAGTTTTAAGCATGTCTGAAACTTAAAACCAAGATCCAGTAAAGTTTTAAGCATGTCTGAAACTTAAAATCAAGATCCAGTAAAGTTTTAACCATGTCTGAAACTTAAAACCAAGATCCAGTAAAGTTTTAATCATGTCTGAAACTTAAAACCAAGATCCAGTCAAGTTTTAAGCATGTCTGAAACTTAAAATCAAGATCCAGTAAAGTTTTAAGCATGTCTGAAACTTAAAATGAAGATCCAGTAAAGTTATAAGCATGTCTGAAACTTAAAATCAAGATCCAGTAAAGTTTTAATCATGTCTGAAACTTAAAATCAAGATCCAGTAAAGTTTTAATCATGTCTGAAACTTAAAACCAAGATCCAGTCAAGTTTTAAGCATGTCTGAAACTTAAAACCAAGATCCAGTAAAGTTTTAAGCATGTCTGAAACTTAAAATCAAGATCCAGTAAAGTTTTAACCATGTCTGAAACTTAAAACCAAGATCCAGTAAAGTTTTAATCATGTCTGAAACTTAAAACCAAGATCCAGTCAAGTTTTAAGCATGTCTGAAACTTAAAATCAAGATCCAGTAAAGTTTTAAGCATGTCTGAAACTTAAAATGAAGATCCAGTAAAGTTATAAGCATGTCTGAAACTTAAAATCAAGATCCAGTAAAGTTTTAATCATGTCTGAAACTTAAAATCAAGATCCAGTAAAGTTTTAATCATGTCTGAAACTTAAAACCAAGATCCAGTCAAGTTTTAAGCATGTCTGAAACTTAAAACCAAGATCCAGTAAAGTTTAAAGCATGTCTGAAACTTAAAACCAAGATCCAGTAAAGTTTAAAGCATGTCTGAAACTTAAAACCAAGATCCAGTAAAGTTTTAAGCATGTCTGAAACTTAAAATCAAGATCCAGTAAAGTTTTAAGCATGTCTGAAACTTAAAACCAAGATCCAGTAAAGTTTTAAGCATGTTTGAAACTTAAAACCAAGATCCAGTAAAGTTTTAATCATGTCTGAAACTTAAAACCAAGATCCAGTAAAGTTTTAATCATGTCTGAAACTTAAAACCAAGATCCAGTAAAGTTATAATCATGTCTGAAACTTAAAACCAAGATCCAGTAAAGTTTAAAGCATGTCTGAAACTTAAAATCAAGATCCAGTAAAGTTTTAATCATGTCTGAAACTTAAAACCAAGATCCAGTAAAGTTTAAAGCATGTCTGAAACTTAAAATCAAGATCCAGTAAAGTTTTAAGCATGTCTGAAACTTAAAATCAAGATCCAGTAAAGTTTTAACCATGTCTGAAACTTAAAACCAAGATCCAGTAAAGTTTTAAGCATGTTTGAAACTTAAAACCAAGATCCAGTAAAGTTTTAATCATGTCTGAAACTTAAAACCAAGATCCAGTAAAGTTTTAAGCATGTCTGAAACTTAAAATCAAGATCCAGTAAAGTTTTAATCATGTCTGAAACTTAAAACCAAGATCCAGTAAAGTTTTAAGCATGTCTGAAACTTAAAACCAAGATCCAGTAAAGTTTTAAGCATGTCTGAAACTTAAAACCAAGATCCAGTAAAGTTTAAAGCATGTCTGAAACTTAAAATCAAGATCCAGTAAAGTTTTAAGCATGTCTGAAACTTAAAATCAAGATCCAGTAAAGTTTTAACCATGTCTGAAACTTAAAACCAAGATCCAGTAAAGTTTAAATCATGTCTGAAACTTAAAACCAAGATCCAGTCAAGTTTTAAGCATGTCTGAAACTTAAAATCAAGATCCAGTAAAGTTTTAATCATGTCTGAAACTTAAAATCAAGATCCAGTAAAGTTTTAATCATGTCTGAAACTTAAAACCAAGATTCAGTCAAGTTTTAAGCATGTCTGAAACTTAAAATCAAGATCCAGTAAAGTTTTAACCATGTCTGAAACTTAAAACCAAGATCCAGTAAAGTTTTAAGCATGTTTGAAACTTAAAACCAAGATCCAGTAAAGTTTTAATCATGTCTGAAACTTAAAACCAAGATCCAGTAAAGTTTTAAGCATGTCTGAAACTTAAAATCAAGATCCAGTAAAGTTTTAATCATGTCTGAAACTTAAAACCAAGATCCAGTAAAGTTTAAAGCATGTCTGAAACTTAAAATCAAGATCCAGTAAAGTTTTAAGCATGTCTGAAACTTAAAATCAAGATCCAGTAAAGTTTTAACCATGTCTGAAACTTAAAACCAAGATCCAGTAAAGTTTAAATCATGTCTGAAACTTAAAACCAAGATCCAGTCAAGTTTTAAGCATGTCTGAAACTTAAAATCAAGATCCAGTAAAGTTTTAATCATGTCTGAAACTTAAAATCAAGATCCAGTAAAGTTTTAATCATGTCTGAAACTTAAAACCAAGATTCAGTCAAGTTTTAAGCATGTCTGAAACTTAAAACCAAGATCCAGTAAAGTTTAAAGCATGTCTGAAACTTAAAACCAAGATCCAGTAAAGTTTAAATCATGTCTGAAACTTAAAACCAAGATCCAGTCAAGTTTTAAGCATGTCTGAAACTTAAATTCAAGATCCAGTAAAGTTTTAATCATGTCTGAAACTTAAAATCAAGATCCAGTAAAGTTTTAATCATGTCTGAAACTTAAAACCAAGATCCAGTCAAGTTTTAAGCATGTCTGAAACTTAAAACCAAGATCCAGTAAAGTTTAAAGCATGTCTGAAACTTAAAACCAAGATCCAGTAAAGTTTAAAGCATGTCTGAAACTTAAAACCAAGATCCAGTAAAGTTTTAATCATGTCTGAAACTTAAAACCAAGATCCAGTAAAGTTTAAAGCATGTCTGAAACTTAAAATCAAGATCCAGTAAAGTTTTAAGCAAGTCTGAAACTTAAAATCAAGATCCAGTAAAGTTTTAAGCATGTCTGAAACTTAAAACCAAGATCCAGTAAAGTTTAAAGCATGTCTGAAACTTAAATCCAAGATCCAGTAAAAGTTGAGCATGTCTGAAACTTGCAACCGTGATCCAGTAAAGTTTGAGAAAAAGTACAAGTGGGCTTTGACAATTTCAATTTGAATTTTTTTTATAATTAAGAAATAAGAAAAAGATCTAAGTAGGCTTTGACAATTACAATTTCAATCAATTTTATAATTAAGATAAGAAAAAGTTCGTAGTGAACTTTGAAAATTTGTTGAAAGTGAAAAATCATTGTGGAAAATTAATTCAATTATTTCACACGTATTTAACACACTTTCACAGACATTGTGAAAGTAAAATTGAAATTGTGCTGTCGTTGGAAATAAGATCCAGTAAGTATAAGCCTGTTTGAAACAAAGACAAAATAATCGAGCAGGAAAAAAATTAAGAATCATACCAAAAAAAAAAAAATTCCAATTGCAAAAAAAAATATTTTCATTATGATGCAAATGAAGTTTGTATTTAAAGACATAGATACAGTATGCTGAAGGAACTTGCTAGTTCCAACATTTTTTCACATACATTTAACTTAATGCATACTGTCACAACCATTTTATTAATATCACACTTATACCAACAAATATTTTCTGTTGTAAACAAAAAATAAATATGTTATGTAATAATCGGTTAAACTTTTCCCATACAAATATGTTTATGCATCTTGTGCCTCACTGGAAGCATCTTATGACTCCAAAAACAATACAGTTCTTGCGGTAGCCTTTATCTATCAGAAGCAAAAAACCGGAAGTCTTAATATTAAGTTTGAAGCGAGTTATCGCACCGATTAACTAACTAACTAACAGAATGCCCTTTTTTGCGAGTTTTTGGAACTGGAACTGCCAAATGAAAAATTGTTTTCACCATTAGATAGGTATTTCGAGGCACAAACTTTTACATATCAGGTATTTGGGTTGATTTCGTAAGCCTGAAGCAGAAAGTTAAAAAAACTGATTTTCCGAAAAACCAAAAACAATATATTCACAAAAATTGAAAATTTTGTGTGAATATGATAACAATAACAAACCTTTTATCCATTCTATAACTTGCTCACATTTCCAATCATTATTAACATTTATATAAGCCATTTCTATATATTTTTTTTTGTTTTAAATTTTATTTACGAAACGAATTGTATTGCACGAAAGTCTTTGCATATCACATAACTTTTTGAGTCAACAGCAAAACTATTGTGTTCTTTGTTTCCTTTTTAAACTTAAAATAAATAAACTATTATTTTTTGCCTTGATTAAGAGAATATTAAAAACTTTAGTTTGATGATTAATTCTGAAATCGGTTTTGGGGGATGGAACTAAGCATGTTATTAAACTTTTTTTCAAATACAAAGGAATTTAAAAAAATAAATAAAATTTTACAGTTAAAAAATTTATTGAAGCATGTTCGTTTCGGTGATTTATCAAATTTATATTAATCTTTTAAGCATCTTTTAAGTCTGCTGGCAATTCTACTTTCGGGTGCTTGTTCTCAAAATGTTGTTTATAGGTTTTCGGATCAGGCATTAAGGCTGTTTAAAAAATTAAAACATTAATCTTTTTTTAAAAAATTTTGCTATTGAAATTTGTTACATAGACAAACGGTGCACTTGATGGTTAATGCTTTGCTGGCAGCTGCTTTCTGATTTGCTAGCGAGTGTCCCTATGAAATGGTAATACAAAAAAGTCATGACTCAATAATAATTGACCAGAATAGTCAGTAGCTTCCGCGCTTCCTTTTAAGTAAAGTTTTTAATGGTAGTTTACTCATAAACTGAATTATAAAATAAGATTTATAGCCCTCACCCCCTTCTCCTTTGACACAAAAATTCAACATGTATTTTCTTATTTCAATAAGATTGTGTGTCACACAAATTCAAACCTAAACTTTAGACGTCATATACGAGTAGCCTTTTTTGTCTTTTCCATAAATTATTAAAACACCGAGGGTTTTATAACGGAACAGTAGCATAGTTTGAGAACCACTGCCTGTCATAACTAATATAACTTCTGTGTTGATTTTTTCTATGTTCGATCAAACATCCTTGAAAATTATGCAAATACTGTAAATCTAAAGATTATAAAAAGTATATGAAAGGAGAAATTGCCGTACTGGATCTTTTTACATGAATTTTTGGGACTCACTGAACAGTGTATAGTTCGTCATGTGTATGAATTAGTGGATTGTCTAGACCAAAGCTAGATTTTAAGGATATCGGATATTAAAACCTGTGAAGATTAGTCTGTCCACGCGGAAGCTATCATCAAATTTTATGCATGAAAACATCAAAATTTTATATTAATTTACCTGTGCCTTCTTTTCCTTTTTCTGCTTTTCCTGGGCTTTCTGCTGTGACTGTAATTTTTGTTGTCCTCTTGCCATTTTCAGCGAATTTTAAAAAGCAAGATAAACTTACAACTCTGATTTTATCTGTGATGAATGATGAATTCTAGAAGAAAGAAAGTAGTTAAATGTTTTGTTGCCAATAATTAGCGAATTATACAATATTTTAATAAAGTTTTAAGATTAATTGAAGCTTACAGTTCAAGCTACACTGAATTAGATATAGATTATATCTGCTGTTATGATTAAAAGCTTTTTAAATTAAAAAATTGATTCCAGTATAAATGTTGAATATTAAGAACGGGCACTGTAACTGGTCATCAATCTGGGAATGTTCTCTAGATTTTAACGAATTTTTAAATTTTGAAAAATTCCGAAGTGATCTAATTCACAAATAAACAATCCCTTAAACCAGACGTGGAAGTTTGCATTGTTGAAATTAAAAATTAAACTTTTTTAAAATAAATAAAATGTCTAGGAACGTAATAGAAAACGTAAAAATGCTTCCGAGGATCAGAAATGCATTATTTCCAGCATCAGGCACAGGACAGTACTATCCACGATCCGCAAAAACAATTCGACTTTTCAAGCAAGGATGTACAAATCGGCCTTTTTATCAAGTTGTTGTTATGGAGGTTTGTTATTTTCATTTTATTTGTATTTAATTATATTAATTCCTGCTATTTTAGAGACGAAAAGCACAATATGAGCCTGTTATTGAACAAATCGGAACTTATGATCCAATGCCAAACAGCAATAATGAAATTTTAGTATCGTTAAATTATGAAAGAATTCGTCACTGGATTGGAAGTGGTGCTCATGTTAGTCGACCTGTTTTAGAGATTTTAGGAATTTCGGGATTCTATCCAATCTATCCAAAAACATACATGAAAGCATGGAGAATGCGAGCAGCTGACGAAAAGAAAGAAACAGAAGCAGTAAAGGAATAAAATCGTAGAGTGTAATAAATTTGATTAGTTAATATAGCTTTTAAAAAGGATCAAGAAATAAACGCAATCCAGAAATTTAAATTTGAAACGGAAATTTATAATTTGAATTCATCTTTTGTTTTCATTATCACAGATTTTATGCGTGTTTTTGTGAATTTGTGAGTTTAATTTATTATGGCACCAAAAAAGCAGCCACTTGTTCCAAAAGTAATTATCCAGACAAACGATGAAAGGACATCAAGTGATTCGAGCTCAGAAGATGAATATTATGAGCCAACAGCACCAACCGTAAATCAAACAAATCAGACTAGTCAAAACACTCACATGGCAAAAAAGAAATGGAAAGATGCAGGTCTTTTACTTCCAGTTAACATATTTCACAAGAAATTAATAAATGGAAAATATGCAAAGAAGGTAGCAAAAGAGGCATCTGTAGCAATGACAGGTGCAATTGAATATTTAGTGTCTGAAATGTTAGAAATCGCAAAAGAATGTGCTGATGCAAATCAGAGGAAGAGAATACAGCCAAGACATATAATGTTGGCAATAAAACGAGATCAAGACTTTGATGAATTACTTAAAGATGTCACATTTCCGAGTACAGGAGTGGTTCCTAATATTCAAGATTCCTTACTTCCTTCAAGAAGTCCAAGCCCAATGCTTGGAAAACGATCATCAGAACCTGGATCTTCAAAAGTTCCAGTAAAGAAGCCAAAGAAACTTCTCCCACTTCCAAATATCAGCGATTCAGATGATTCAGATTGAATTAAACAAGACGATTCTATTATTAAGTTACAAATATTTTGTATGAAAATTACTCCTTGTTACTCTACATTAGCAAAATGTAAATTAATCAAAGGTGACAAATTTAGTCTAATTGTTAAACTTTATAAAATATTAATTAAGTACCCGGATGATTAAAGTTTGTTTTGATCAGTATTCTTTATTTTACTTATCTTATTTCTTTTCTTGGATACATCGATTTCATCTCGTATACACCTTCCTGGTTCATCAAATTACACATCTACTAAATATCTTTTTTGCGTTGATTTTCAATTAATTATCGCACACTTAACTTTCCGAGATTTCAAACAAGACTGAGAAAATTGCTCAATAATGAAATTTCAATGGCAATATTGATATTGTTTATTTTGCTTGCAACGAATTTTTGAAATTCAAATTTTACCGATTCTGCAAAATTTTAATATTTTCATAGAAAGTTTCAATTCAGAAAAAGTTTCAAAATAGAGATTTATTTTAGATATCATAATTTTTGTTGCTAGAATCGTGAGTGATTATGGATAGCCTGTGGGAAAGATTTTGAAGAGATGAGAAATACACAGATTACAAATATATGGGAAACAGAATTGTTAAGATTGCTGATTTCACTTGCTACTGACTGATATCTCAAGTTATTGTTTAACGCAGTTTAACGAAGGATTCAAGCAAAGAAAGAAAGAAGTGATTTTCGAGTAGACTGGGAGTAGACTGTGGTAATCAAGACACCCCATATTGTAATCTTCCATACAAATAGATTGTTAAAGATTATAAACTTTCTGTCAACCCAGCTGCAATTCTTATTAAATACCTAGATCATTCAATAGTTTCCAATTTTGTTTGTAAATAAACCGAGATTATCGAATCTTTTTCCACAGTCTTCATTCTAATCAGTCGTATACTTTATCACAACAGAATTCTTACAGAAATGATAAGTTATTTTAAGAATTCTACGAAATTTGTTCTTGCGACCGGGTCCGAAATCAGCTTATTCCAACTCCAAGATAAGGAAAATGTCGAGGAATTCATTTATGAAGACATAAAGCCACAATGTTTAAGTAAGTTTGGAAAAAAAAAATATTAAAATTATTGCTGTCTTGTTTGAATCTTGTACTGGATTGTGATGCTGATCATAATGCTTTTCTATGCTAGCCTAATTAACAGCTTCCAAGTTCATAGAAATGATACAAATCTAGATCTTTGTTAATTGCTAAATGTGTAAATCATACAAAATAAATACAAAGTCTTTGTTCCTATCAATTATTCTTACTATTTTAAGATCAAGTGAAATTCATCAGTCAACATAATAAGACATTAAGCTATTTAAACTCTGAAAAGAGATACCAATACATAAAATGTATAGCAACATCACATCAAGAAGATGAGCTACTTGTCGCAGCCGGTCAAATATCGGGAAAAGTTTCAATTGTCAACTTCATGCCAGTTGCTGAAAGCAATTTAGAATTTACACCACGACAAAATCGACCATCATTGTCATTAGCATGGAATGAACAAGAGTTAAATTTACTTGCCATGGGCTTTGATAAGAACAAATTTGATCATTCTATATCTGTTTGGGACGTTTCAAGGGGTGCTGCATCAGATACTTCTATAGTAAATCTCATTGGCTTATCGGAAAGTGCACATTCAATATGTTGGGATAAAAAAAACTTGATAGCTGGAATGAGTTCCAAGTATATAAAAATGATGGATTTAAGAGGATCACCAACAGCACTAACAGTTAACACAAGAGCTGTAAATGGGCTCACAATGTCATCTAATAATATGCTATTAAGCAGTTACTATGAAAATGTTGTAAACATTTTTGATCTAAGGAAGTTCACCGAGCCAATTAATCAGTTTCAACTTGCTAATCATCTCGCTCAGATTTCTTGGTGCCCAACAACTGAAAACTGCCTGTTGTGTCTACAAAAAGATTCCTCTTTAGCTATTAATATTATTGACATCCACTGGAATGGAATTGAAGACGATAATGATGCACACTTTATAAAGCGGATAATAGCACCATTTGAGATTGTAGATAGAAAGAATAAATTTCAGCTTCTATCCAAAGCAACAGCACTAGAAAATATATGTTGGGATCCAAAATATTCAAATCAAATGCTCGTGGCTGCGTCTAATCCTTCAAACACTGCATCTTCTATTTTGTTGATGGATCTAGAAGTGCCTGAAAGAAGAATAGCTGTATTTGATAAATGGAACAAGCTTTACACTCCATTGTCGCCAGAAATAAGAGAAATTCCAATGGTTTCACCTCCATCGTCTCCGACTAATTCTACAAATTCTTGGTACCCAAATGCAGGTATTATGGAAGGTGATATTTCAGAGTTATTTCAACAACGGATTCTTCAGGATTATGGTCAGATGGATTTTGAGAGAAATGCCAAAGTATGCATGGACTCATCTCTATCGAGTGTTTGGAAAATGTTAGTACAAATGAAAAATGCTGACTGTTTTATTGGTCTTAGAACTATTCTTGGAATTGATTCGAAAAGCGAAGAACTGACTATTGCTCAATCTGTAACTGAGACTCGAGCATTCTTTGATTTTCCAAACGGAGGTGCTATTAAAGTGTACAAAAGTGAGGAACGGGAATTCGCTATGGAACTGTGCGATTGGAAATTTCAGAAAAACGATTCAAATGGAAGTCTCCAAATTTATATTGAGGAATTGTGCAAGAAAAAGAGATACACTCGAGCTGCTATGCTTGCTGTATTTCATTTAAGGATACGACTTGCTTGTGATATTTTAGGTAAATCTTATAGCTTTGTTTTTAAATAAAATGTTTAACTTAATATTCATGATTGTAGCACGTGGTGCAAATGAAATGGACGACGAGAAAAGTTCTTTGCGGATATCAGCAATAGCATTGGCTGGATATAGTAGTGGAAATATGTGGAAGATGCAGTGTGGTTCAGCACAAAAGCAAATTGATGATCCTCATTTGCGAGCCATTTTCAGCTTTCTATCTGACGAAACTTTTAACGGTGTCTTATATGAGGAAGGCATATCGATAAGTGACAGGATGGCATTTGCATGCACATACATGAATGATCGACAGCTTTCAGAATATATAAAACAAATGATTCAACAATCGATTGATCAAGGAGATCTTCAAGGACTTTTAATTACGGGTGCAACAATTGATGGAATTCAATTACTTCAAGCCTTTGTGGACAGAACTGATGATGTGCAAACGGCTGCCATAATTGGTCAAAAAATATTGCCAGCAGATTTACAAACTGATAATCGTCTTCAGACGTGGATTGCAATCATGAGAAATATGATGAATACATGGGAAATGTATGAGAAACGTGCAGCCTTTGATATATCCATTGCGTCGACTAAAAACTCACAAAAAACTCCAAAGTCCATTTTCTTATTATGCTCATTTTGTGGAAAGTCAGTATCAGCTTCTATTTCCCATCTTCAAGAAGATGCTCGCCAAAGGAATCAAATACAAGGCAATAAATTATCATCATGTCCAAATTGTAAAAAGCCACTTCCAAGATGTTCTTTATGCTTACTACACATGGGTACTTCTTTGCCTTCAAATGTCTACAATCAGTCAAATATAAAATCGAGGAATATCAAATCGTGGTTCACTTGGTGTCAATCATGTCGTCATGGTGCACATTTTGTACATATAAATGAATGGTTTAAAACTAATACGGTATGTCCTGTAACAAGCTGCAATTGTAATTGCTTTGCAATTGATTTACCACTTTTGAAAGAGAAAAAAGACGAATCAAGCCTCAATGCACAATGAAATATAGACCAAAATTCGATTAAATCAATTCCTGCATTATTTTAAATCAATTGACAATTGAACTGTTTTAGTTTTGTTTTGACTGGATAATATTAACCAAGCATTGAATATGTCAAAAATATTTAAAAGATGTTAAAAATAAAGCCTTTCTTTTATTTTCCTTAGATTAAATACACTGGAATTACGTTTTATTAACTACATGATTATTAATCTCTACTAACAAGCCATCTTCTACTAAATGATCTGAATTCGCACTGTAAGATATCTTGTCACGCTTAAGAGTCACCATTCTGCCGCCTACAGAATTTATCAAAGCATTTCCAGCACATAAGTCCCATTTCTTTATCCTTGTGTTATGCAAATAAATTGTGGCATTTCCTTCCAACACTTGAACAATCTTATAACCACTGCCAGCGGCACCAATGATTGAAGTCTTTTCACCCAACATACTTTTGGCGAGATCTTTAACTTTGCCTGCATGGCTTAGCGACACTATAGCTATCGGATTTTGGACGTTATCATCAAGATCCTTAAAAATAAAAACAAATAAATTAATTTATGAAGGAACTGCATATGAGGATAGACATGAACTTACAGCTTTAATATTAGCTAAATTTTCAGACACTCCATGTCCTCTCCAAGACCAATAGAGTCTCTTACTAAAAGGGAAATATACAACACCAGCAATAGCCTCTCCTTTTTTGTCAGCAACACAGATCATTACTGATACATATTGGAAGAGTTTCTCTGTAAACTCTTTGGTTGCATCTAACGGATCAATCCATAATGTTAGATCTTGTGCGGGAACATGAATGTCAGGCAATTGAACATTTCCAAGAACTGATGGATCTAAATCAAAGAAATCTAGATCTGTTGGACAATTTTTCTTTTGGACATCTTCTTCAGATATTAAATTAAGATTTGGAAATATATGCCAAAGTGAATAAGCTATTTGACAATGTGAATTTACATCCGCTAAAGTAATGTAGTCATTGACTCCTAAAATAAAGGATATCGTGGTGTTTTCAGACCAGAATTTTTTGATAGATCTATTTACATACCTTCTTGAGTTTTTCCTTTTGTTTTTACACCGCCAAAATCTGGCTCATTTGATATTTTAATGACTTGATTGCCACCCGATTTTGCAGCTAATATTAGTCCTATAATTAATTTTCTTAAATTTACTTCATTTTTGCTAGACTTCTTAAGACTTTCTATTGTTGATGAAGTTGCAGAAAGGACATAGATAATAAATAAAACGATGCCTATAAATGTTATCACTGCACATTTATTAACTTTAACTGCTCCTCCAAGATTCATTTATAATCTCTTATAAGTTAAGTTTACTTAAGTTATTCTTGAAAACCATAAAAATCAGTTTATGATGAGCTGTATTTAAATATTCCAATTTTCTTTTAATGCAACTTAGGATATGCCACTCTATACTTTGGGTACTAAACCACAGCTGTTATGCACGTTGATCGAAAAAGTGAAAAGATTGTCAAAAATTCAGCTTATATGCTTATGTTGTAGACATTGGTCCCTAGTTTATGGGGAAAAAAATTTTTCCCCCGGAAGTGCTTGGTCCACGAGAAAAGAGGGTTTGAATTTTTGTACTTCACGTAATTTTTAAACTACTATTGTGCTTCACCTACTTATCTGTTTGTCTTCAAACTTTTTTTATTTGATAGACACAAGTAAGAACTTTTTTATGAATATCCACATGATATACTTTTTGTGCATATTGGTTCCTAAAAGTTGAAAAAAGTTCGAAAAAACTAGGTTTTTTGTCATTTTTTTGACCTCATGACTATATCAGGCTTTTTAAATATTTTTAGATTGCAGTATTTTGTAGATCTCATTTATATCTACAAACATCACATGCATAATCTACAGATTTTATGTAGTTTGAGTAGTGAAAATTAACTTTGAAGTCAAAAATTTGCATATTTTTTGCTATATTCTCAATTGTGATCCACTGTCCATGTCTGGCTCCCAAATTTTATTTCATTAATTTGTAGACCCTAGTATGTTCTATCAATTAATGCAATAAGAAAAAAGAATCACTTGCCGGAAAGCTTCAAAATATGAGCCTGAAGTTGGTCTAGTGAGGTATCTCAAAATTCAAAATGAATTTTCACATACCAGTCTTAATGAAAGGAACTGAAATTTTCAGGTTTTATTTAAAAAGCAATGTACTTAACATCCACAACAAAAGTTTTTAATTAAAAACACAATTTTGTTGAAAATTTAGGCAAAAAGTGATATATGATGTTATGAAACCATTAAATGCTCAATAAAGCTACTATAACTAGTTTAAATCAAAACATATCTACAATTTTCATATTGTTTATTTGAAAAGCTTTCCAATGGCATATAATAAATCACATAAATATGTAATTTCTAGTAAATATCATCAAAGTTTTAAAAAATGTATCAAATTTTACCAAATCTGGAAACCTATGCTTGACATTTTTGCTTAGAACTATTGTAAATCTTAAGTTTATGCAATAATTTTGGTATTGTTAGAAAGCTTAAAGTAGTGTTGATGTATTAAAAAAGAAATTAAAGCTCATTAGCAGCTAGAAGAACAGATATGCTAGGTCCAATATGTCATACTTTGACTGCCACTACTAGGCACAAAGGTCATTCCACTTTTAATTTTTGGACTTTGTTCTATAGATCTATGCTAGAACTATAATATAAATTCCATAAAAGTAGTTTTTCATGGTTGACTGAAACAAAATTGTCTAAATAAAAACCTTAAAATTTGCTATTTTTTGACTAAATGCATTTACTAGCATTTACTATTTTACTGAAATTAACATCGGAAATCTACTTTTATGGAATTTATATTACAGCTCTAGCATAGATCTATAGAAAAAAGTCCAAAAATTAAAAGTGGAATGACCTTTGTGCTTAGTAGTGGCAGTCAAAGTATGACATATTGGACCTAGCATATCTGTTCTTCTAGCTGATAATGAGCTTCAATTTCTTTTTTAATACATCAACACTACTTTAAGCTTTCTAACAATACCAAAATTATTGCATACACTTAAGATTTACAATAGTTCTAAGCAAAAATGTCAAGCTTTGGTTTTCAGATTCGTTAAAATTTGATACATTTTTTAAACTTTTGATGATATTCACTAGAAATCACATCGTTATATGACTTATTTTATACCATTGGAAAGCTTTTCAAATGAACAATATGAAAATTGTAGATATGTTTTGATTTAAACTAGTAATAGTTACTTTATTGAGCATTTAATGGTTTCATAACATCATATATCACTTTTTGCCTAAATTTACAACAAAATTGTGTTTTTAATTAAAAACTTTTGTTGTGGATGTTAAGTAAATTGCTTTTTAAATAAAACCTGAAAATTTCAGTTCCTTTCATTAAGACTGGTATGTGAAAATTCATTTTGAATTTTGAGATACCTCACTAGACCAACTTCAGGCTCATATTTTGAAGCTTTCCGGCAAGTGATTCTTTTTTCTTATTGCATTAATTGATAGAACATACTAGGGTCTACAAATTAATGAAATAAAATTTGGGAGCCAGACATGGACAGTGGATCACAATTGAGAATATAGCAAAAAATATGCAAATTTTTGACTTCAAAGTTAATTTTCACTACTCAAACTACATAAAATCTGTAGATTATGCATGTGATGTTTGTAGAAATAAATGAGATCTACAAAATACTGCAATCTAAAAATATTTAAAAAGCCTGATATAGTCATGAGGTCAAAAAAATGACAAAAAACCTAGTTTTTTCGAACTTTTTTCAACTTTTAGGAATATGCACAAAAAGTATATCATGTGGATATTCATAAGAAAGTTCTTACTTGTGTCTATCAAATAAAAAAAGTTTGAAGACAAACAGATAAGTAGGTGAAGCACAATAGTAGTTTAAAAATTACGTGAAGTACAAAAATTCAAACCCTCTTTTCTCGTGGACCAGGCACTTCCGGGGGAATTTTGTTTTTTTTCATAAACTAGGGACCAATGTCTACAACATAAGCATATAAGCTGAATTTTTGACAAACTTTTCACTTTTTCGATCAACGTGCAGCCTATCAAAAGAATTCAAATACTTTTTGATTGTTAAAAAAATTCTTTTTACTTTTAATATTAAGTTTTTTATTATTTCTATTTGAGAAAACTTTTTGTTCAATTTTCATACATTTTATGAGAATTTTCAATTTAAATTAATATTTTTAAAAATTATAAAATATTCGTGAAAAAAATAATAATAACATAACAAAACAAGAAATCGCATCTTTTGCTATATGTACATTAATAAATTATTAAAAGACAAAAAATGGCTTAGAGAAGAGTATCAATGGCATGAATAACTCCATTTGTGGCTGGAATGTTTGATGTTAGAATTGTGCTGTCATTGACTTTTACTTTGCCTATAAAGCAAGAATCGATATTAGAGGAATAATAATAAAAGTAATGATAATCTCGAGCCTACCTCCATTCTTTTGTACTGTAATTGCTTTATCTTCAGCCAATGTGTCCTTAACTTGATAGAAACGCATGCCAGATGTAAATAGAGTACCTGGTACAATATGACGATTGACCAACTGTTGTGCTGAATCTTTATCACTAATCATTGTGTTTAATTCCTCTTGTGTCAAGTGACTGAATGCGAAATCAGTTGGTGCGAATATTGTGTACGTTTTAATACCTTAAAAAAGTTCTACGTCAATATTCACGTCAAGAAATCAATTAAATCATGTCATACCTTTATTTTGTAATGTATCAGCCATGTTAGATGCGAAAACAGCTCTAAGGAAATTTGTGAATCTTCGTTCTCTGTCAGATTGAAGTGTCTGTAAAATATCTCCGACTGCAAAAAAAGATAAAATTTTGGATTTGTAAAAACTGTCTTACTAGAAATCTTTTAAAGTACCCTACCTGGTAATGGGAACATGCATCGATCTATGGCATGAGCAATGCCTTGTGGAATCACAATGTCATTATTTTCTGGTGAAATGGTAGCACCATTGATTGTAGTGACTTTAATATCATTCCATTCGACGTCTTGCATTTGATATTGATTAACTCTAAGTTGTGTACCGGCAAGGGATACTCCAGTCATTTCGTCTTGTAATTCTTCAATTTTGAATGAGCCTGGAATTACGTGATGCAGCAAAAGACCGCTTAATAATCTTGGATTATTTCTGAATTTTTCTTCAGCCTTTTCAGGCCCTCCAAGTTGTACCAATAAGCTCTTGAATGCCTTATCAGTTGGAGCGAAGATTGTATATGGACCTGTTTCGTTTAAAATGCTGTCTAATCCCGATTGACGTAAATATTTAGCCATTGCATATAAACCACTATTTCTGAGGATTTCAGCCAAATCTGGTGATTTTTGTGTTGAAGCCTGAACTGTAGTTGGTGGGGTGGTGGTAAATGTAGGTGAATATGAGATTGATGAACGGACAGGTGTTGAAAAAGCAGGTGAAACTGTTGATGCACTTACAGTTTGTACTAATTTTTGTGCTTCCGCATTGCGAATGTAATTAATTGAACTAGCTGTAGCATAATCAGGTGCCTCAGTTGTTGATAATCTTTGGACACGTGGTGTTACTGAGAAGATGTTGTTTCTTTCTGTCGTTTCGAATGTCGGTAATGTCGAGTATGGTGATCGTCCATTATCTTCTTTTTGTGTTGTCGCCGAGAATGAATAATGGAAAGCTGATGAACCGCGTGTGCTTGGTGTTTTGACAGGTGTAACTGTCTGTGGAGCAGTGGTCGATGCTGAATATTTAATTGTTGATGGTGATGATTTTGCTGCCGTACTGATTATGTTGCCATTAGTGGCTCGATGATTTTTCGGGACAGAAGTTGAAATTACTGGTAAACGTGTTGAAATTTGCTGTTGTTGAGTCGTTGTCGTTGGCTGTGAAACAGTAGTTTTTGGTGTAGGAACTTCAATTGGAGTAACAACTTTCTTTGCTGTTGGTGGTAATTGAATGTCTCCGCTTTTAATGCGTTTAAGTATAGTATCGACTTCTGAGCCTGCAGTCTTGACTTCTTTATCATTATTAGACTTTACGCCTTGAACTTTATAGCTTCCATCGTCTTGCTCCTCAAGATACACAAATGTTACTTTCTTTTGTGATGGAACTTTTTGTACCTTTTGTAATCCACTTTCTGATTGTTTTATGACCTCAAAGTCAGTTCCGCCCGCTGGCAAAAATCCACTCTTTGCTAAGTCTTCAATCGATAATGGTGCCTGTGTAGTTCCAGTTGCAATTGGTTCAACAAGTTGACCACCTTGTGCTTTTTTAATCAATTCCGGGTCAGTGGTTCTTATTACCTGAACTTTTTCGCCATTAGGTAAAACGATGTCTTGTGCCGTAAAATCTTTTCCTCCTAAATCGGGTGTCTCTTCAGCCAACGTTTGTTTCAGTTGTTTTAACAACTCGTCACGTGAAAGAGGTGATTTTGCTTTAGTTGATTTTGAGCCTTTCAATGCATCTTGTTTCAATTGACTCAATAATGTACTTTGGCGATCTCCCTGTAACAATTGCTTAATATCTTCCGCATTCAATATCTTAATCTCCTGTTTAACTTTATTTTTTTTAAGTGGAACGACATTTAGCGAACTTTCAGTTGTTGTTGTTGGAATTTTTGTAGTGGTAGGAGCTTGAGTTGTTGGATATTGTTGATAATATTGATGAACGGATTTTTCAAATGCTGTCAAATCTGTCGGCCTAACACCTTGCTGTCTTGCAAAGTTTGGTGCTTGAACTAAAGGTGATTGTTGTGCACGAAGTTTTTCCTGTGTTTGCTCTTGTAATCTCTTTTGTTTTTGAACAAAATCTTCGTGAAGGCGTTGAACTTGTGCTTGTTGATTTTGGAAGTATTTTTGGGCGAATTTTTCATGCTTTTCAATAAGCTTTTGACGAGCTAATTCTTCATTTCTTTTTTGTTCTTCTGTACGTGTATCGTAAAAAACGTTTGATCTTTGCTCTAATGGAAGTGATTGACTTTGTTGGATGAAAGGATTTTGGACTTGAGGTTGGAAATTAGTGAAAACTGGTGCCTGTGGAGCTTGTTGCTGAGGTGGGAATTGGACATTATTATTAGGGAAGAAATTTTGTTGTGGACGAACTGGAGGTTGTTGAACTAATGGAGCTGAAATTGGACCGAATCCATTAGCATCTTTGAAAATTGGACCAGATTGTTGGGCTAAAAATTGAGGTGGTGGTTGATTGAAAGATACTTGACCAACTTGATTTTGTACAGATCTTTGGAATTGTGTATTTTGAGGTTGTACTGGTGCTTGAATGGATGGCTGAATAATAAATTCAGGAATGAAATTACTATGGAATCTAAAAGGATTAATTAAATTTACTTGTCTAAAAAGCTGAGGCTGCTGTTGATTTGGAAGCTGTTGAGAAGGTTGCGGTTGTGAGGGAAAGAATCTTGCATTAGGAATTGCCTGTGATGGAAAGGATTGTGATTGTTGCTGAACAAATCCATTAAATTGATTTCTCAATTGTGGTTGCTGAACATTGAATCGATGTTGATGCTTTTGTATATCTGTGAATATGTGATTTTGTTGTACTTGCGATAACTGTCTGCGTTGTATTGGAACCTATCAAAAAATTAAGATTTTGTCAGTAAATTGAAATTGCATAACGAAATCAAAAACAAAGAAAAGAATGAGTAAAAGGAAATAAAACACATCTTCACAATCACATGACACATAACTTTTCTTGCTTCTTACATATACAATAAAATAAAAGGTTTAATCACGCATAAATAAATGGGCAAAAAATATTTAATAACACCCCACAAGTTGGAATGAAAAGAAGAGCCAAAAAGTGAAATTTATGAAACGAAAGTGAAAGAAGAAACAGCTACAGAGAAAGAAGGAAAAAAAAAAAGATTGTTGATCCATACAAATACAATGTGCTTACTCTTCGTTGTAAGGCCGAATACTTGAGAAGAGAAAGAAATGTTCACACGTTAAAGAAATTTTTTTTTATTTCTACAGCCAAGAAAGAAATAATTGTTATTATTTTTTGGAGGCTCCATCTTAATGAACCTCTTATGTAATGTATCTTTTTGGTCTTTGATTGTGATGATTATTTTTGGTTTTGCAAATTTTAGTGGTTTATTTTAGTAAATCTCATGTGGATACACATATAAGATGATAAAATTATATTTAATTTATCTTTTTGTGCAGCTTTTGTGCTTGACATTTTCAAAAACGCATCAATTCATCATTGAGTGATTGGTCTATTTCGCATGCTACTGCTGAATGTTTGCAAAATAATGACGATAGCCTCATTTTTTTATAGAAACTAAATAAATTCAAAACATTACATATTTCTTTGCTCTTTTATGGATAATTGTATGTCTATTATCTCTTCTTCCACACTTTTCACATTCATCACATTGCGTCATGTACAAGTTCACATAATAAATATTTAAGACTATATACGTTGAGAAGATGAAACAAGAAGACAGTGATGTGCAATAATTATCAATAAATTTTACTTTGAAATTGCATCATAATGACAGACATCAATGCAGGTTGTTGAATCTTTTCTTACTTGCTTTTGCGATGGTAATCAATTTATTTTTAATGCAATTCGGTCATTAGCTCAATAATGGTCAAATTTGTAAGAGTAATTAAAAAATTGAAGAATTAAACGGAAGTATTTTCCAGATATAAATGGATTATAATTGTTCCGTGTGGATTATTAAAATGACTATAAAAGTTGCGCAAAGTTATTAAAAATATTTCATTTATAATTCATTCAGCATTCGATCATCATTTGATGAAAATTTCTGCCATTTAAATGAAAATGCGAACAATAATTTTTTTAATTTTCATTGTGTCATATTTTGGAAGCTTCGTAAATTGTCAAGGTAGAGGACAAGGTCCAAGAAACTTAATTTTGACAGAACAAGAGTTGAAATTCGCTGGCACTGCACTGCGTGCTGCCTTAACTTCAAATTCTAATTCCTATGTAAGTTAGTATGAATTTAAATTTTAATGAAGCTTCCTCAGAGGCTTTAAAATTAACTTTATTAGATATAAGAAACGATAAATTGTCAGGATTAGGGATTTTTTTTTTGTTTTTGGCTAATAGATGCCAAATGGTTCTAAATCCTTACAAACAAAATGAATGCTTGTTGATACCTTATGTGAAGACTTAAGTTTAATGATCTCTGTTAAAACAGCATTAGAAATTGTGAAGACTAGGATATTGCAAATCATAAAATTAATAAATTTCATTAATGTCGTGGAATTTAGCGAAAAAAAAATGGAAATCGTCGTTTCAGTGGAACCTTTACAATTATCGAAAGAGATGCATGTGGCGGACTTGATATTCGCATAGATGCTGACGTTGATTTAGTGAATTCAAATGGTTATCGACGAGACTATTACCAAGCAGAAGTGAAGAATGGTCCAAAACATATATCAGGAAGCACAAATGGTGGATATGCTGGTAGCTTTAATTACTGATTATTTATTTATATAGGTAAATTAGTCTCAAAATGGAAATAAAATTATTCAGCGCTGTTCATTGAAAATCCTACAATTACTGTGCTTAATTCACATACATGATGAATGATAAAGACCGTAGGTGTTTTTTATGAAGCAATAGATGAAATCGTCATAATTTTGTATTAAGAGAGAAAGCTTATCGCTTTAATAGACTGAGAGAGGCTAAGTGTGAAGTATATTAGTCATAAACTTATCTTCTATCGAATAATTCAGAAACTGAATTCCTGCTTGTATTAACAATAATAGCATCACAGAAACATCTTTGTCACTTCATCTTTACATAATAATTACTTTGTTATTTTCTCTAATATTATTCAATCAGTCTTTGGTGATGTGAAGGGATATTACGTAAAAATTTGATTAAAATCGATGGCTTAAAATCGTCTCTTTTTTGCCAATTCTTCCTGCCCAAAAATGTCATCATTTGCATAAATTTTTGCAAATTTCTTTCATCTTTCTTTTTTTGACCACTGCCGTTACTTATGTTTGAAATAATGAAATTTCGAAAGTTTTTCTCTAAAAAAAGAGCTGATGTGATTTTGTCTCGAAAAAGCAGAGACATCCGCATTTTTATGTAAACACATGTGATTTGTATTGATGATGAATAGCCCGAAATTGAATTGAGATAATATCATCTGATTTATGTTGTGTTATGGATACAAGATTGTATGATGTTTCCGATTGTAATTTAATTTTATTGAGTTTTATGACGAACTGAATCCAATTCTTTCAAATGTTTGTATGTCTATGATTTCTCTCGCTTCCTATATTATATCAATTGAATATAATTGGAATTTCAAGTGTGTATTATTTAACTAAACAATGAAAGCAGCATAGCAAATATTTCTTTCAGACATGAAACGAATAAAGTTCAAGATCAAAAGTTGAAACGCCTATAAAATACATGCACAATCATTTATCATGATTACCATCAAATATCAAATTTACACGCTAATCTTATTGGAAAAAATTTTAAAATTAAAAAAAAAATTAAATTCTGAATTGCACGATCAAAATTTTAATCAAGAATACCTAAAACTTAGGTATCAAATTTTTTCACATGTTTTTTTGTTTTACAACATCTCGTTAAATTTTTGACAAAAATGTTTAAAGGAGAAATTTGCCTTTTTAATATTCACATAATCAAATAAAATTAGAAAGGATGTTTCTGTTTACACCCATATGCAACCCATATTTTATGTGAATAATAAAGCACCAAAAACAGAAATAGCAAATCTAATTGCTAATTGTGACTATAATGATCCTCGTATAAAATGGCTTTTAAAAATCATTTTGCAACAAAATAAAGCACCTTAATGTTTTTTTATATTTTTTTAATTTAATATTCCAAATATTAAATTACAAATTGATTTGGAATTTTAAGAAAATAATAAGGTATGAAATGCTTTCGAAAGAGAAAAGTTTCCGCATCAGGATTTTTGCTTAAAGAGCAAAAATAATAAAAAAAAAAATTTTCACTGTCATCAGTCGCTTGAATTAAAATGTAGTGGATGAAAGAAAATAAAATGAAATGAGCAATTTTACCATTATTATTGTTAGCTCAAGCAATTTCTGCTTCTTTTAGACGGAATGTGTCAATCAATGGACGAAAAGAAGAAAAATCGTTTTAAATTTTAGACAAATTTACTTCCACCTATCATTGAAGTTGTTAAAATTTTTATTGGCTTTTAATTTTCCACTTGTTTTACTTCTTATATTGAAAAATTGGAAATTTTAATTATTTTTTATAGGCACAGTATTTTTGAAAAAGCATTACAAAGGATTCAGGATTTTTTTCTTTTGATTTCCATCAGAAACAAGCAATTTGGACAGGCTGGATTCTAATTGTTTATATGCTTTTTGCTTCCAGTCTTTATCGTATTTAATATTCTGACTTACTTTAATTGATACTATTTTTGTCCATAGTCTATAATGAGTATGAATCTGAAAATCGCTGTGTCAAGGTTTTTTAATTTTCAGATACCTAAGCACTGTACAATTTCGCCGTCAAGGCACTTCAACTCAATGAACATCTTTGAATGGAGGATTAAGCATAAATAACTTACCAAGTGAACTTGTCATCTGACTTTCTTTACGTATAAAATTGTTTACGCAGAAAATGTGATGATTATACAATCAATTCATTCACTTAAGTAGTAACAATTTTAATTTTCTGTAATGCGAAATGATTCAAAGAAAGAAGTAAGAAGATGATAGAGAGACGAAAAGAGAAGAGCCGAATAAATTATTTCTTTTCATTCAAAGTATAAAAAAAAAAATAATTAACCTTTTCCTATGAATGAACTCTTGAAAGAGGAAGAAGAATTTATGATGTTTGAATTTCTCACTTTACGCAATTTTTCTTTCTTATTTAATCTCGTCTCTACGTTAAGCGCATGCTGTTGGTACACGATGCATGCTAGTGCCGACTGCGCATAATAAATTATTCCGCATGTTATTGTTACTCTGTTTCTGGAGTATTGTTTGGTGATTAACAGTAGGTAAGATCAAGTTTGAATGCTACATAATACAAAAGTAACAAGTAAATGTGTAATATGCCTCGTGATGGTAAATGATGATGATCGTGTTACTAATATGGAAATCAATTTAATAAAGTAGGAAAATATATTTTCTTCAAAATTATTAAAGAAAATAAAGTTGATAAATTGCGTTTAAATGTCTATCGACGATATAACCAAAAATAACAATCAGTTCTCAAAAATTAAGCAATGAAGGAAAATTAAGTTAAGATTCAGTTTTATTTGATCGAAATAAAAATACAATTTGAAAGCTTTCGATCAAAAAATAATTGTAAAATTGAGTGGAAAATGGAAATCTCAATAATTAAGTTTGCTGATGATTTCCAATTAATGCTTAATTTGAACATTAGTTTGCAGAAATATTTAAGAAATGAGATACGCATAAATAGGCTTGGACACTAATGAGTAACAACTGTTTTTTAAAGATGTTAAGCATTTTAAAAATGTATTATAATAAAATTATCACATTTAAAATGTTTTAATTCAACTAATTTGATTTTGTCACGAAATGATTTTAAAGAGGTACAAATCTGTATTTTTGTTTTGTAACTTTATAATTGAAATTCTAGGTAAGTTTTAAAATGCAATTTAAAGCATTTTTGGTATTGATCATAGCAGGCTATTTTCAAAAAAATATCGATTTTATATCTATATTAGCACTCTTTATGTAATAAAGAATTATAAATATTATATTTTATGTAGAATTATAAATTGATTAAGAATATAATAATTTTACTTTAGATTCAGAATTTAAAAATCACTAAGACTGCTTCAGACCCATCTAAGACTGCACTTATACATAGTCCACTAAAATTTCAAAATAAATACACTGATTACAATTTCCAATTCTAAAGTAACTCTACTTCATAAATTAATTTCTTATTCATTTTTAAAATAAATATTTGCTGCACGAAAATCATGTTGCATATACATAAATTAATATTTTGTATTTCATATATGCTCTATTTCGATTTTGTGATAAGTTTTTTTTCTTCTTCATAGTTTCTCTCTCACTTCGTAAAACATTATTTTCACTTATTTTTCGTTTGGGCTCCATCATAATTTGCCTATGCAGTTGTTGTTGAGCATATGATTTTGTAAATTGCTTACAATTTTTAATATTTCAATTTTTCATTTTTGATGCTTGTTGTTATTCAAATTATCAAGTTATTATTAATAGATAATGCCTCAGTTGTTTTTGTTCAGGTAAATTAAAATACATTTTTAATGATGTATTGAAAAGATGTTTCATATTTTAATTAATGGATAAGAAATAAAAGTGAAAAATAAGTTATGGAGCTGTGGTTTTACTTTATTGCCAAACAGAATTTGCACACATCATTGGTGTTAATGATGCATTCAAGGACTTAGCATTATGTAACTTAACCTAAAAGTACTTAGAAGATCAATCAAATATTTTTCCAACATTTTTTACCATTTACAAAATGTAAATCTAATTTGTTTTATTGTGCAACGTATGCTTTCAGTTTATCATCTGTTTGTGGCTTCATTTATCTTCGATCCAAATTGATCTTGGAGTTAAAGAAAGTTATTAAGTAAATTATGCTCTTAAACTTTGATCACTACCATTTTATAGTAAGCAATTTATGAAAAACATACAGTATGACATGACAATAAAACCAAAAATTTACTTAATTCAAGTACATTCATTACAAACTTAGCGGAAAGATTGTGAGATTTTTCGAATGTGGTTCAGAGTGTAATGTTGGTTGACTTTTGACTTAGTTTAGTTTTTAACATCTAGTTTAATGGTGATGATTCCAACGATTAAGGATTTACGTAACGGTAATTGTCAGTCATTATTAATTGTGGTGTTAAAACTCAACAAGCTTGTTATTTTAATTCGATATGAAACAAAATTAAATGTATTACACTTCACTTTTTTAAAGTCGATACTCTATCCTATCACGTAATTGAATGATTACATACTTGATCGTATCAGAGATTTTAAGCTTAATTTTGAATTTCAAGATTTATGAAATTGGATCATAATAATATTTTCTTAACATTGATTACGTCAATGTGCTTATATTTAAGTTTAATTACTTAACAAGCTTTTACAGCTTTCGATTTCTTCCAAATTTGACTAGCAATGACCACTTTTGACTTCACTTTTAGAATGCACAGAAAGTTTTCTAATTAAAAAATAGATAAATTTGATTTAATTTTTAAAAACATTTTAAGGCTTTAAAAAAAAAATCAACATTTTGATTTATTTAATTTAATTTATTATTTTTGGAACTAATCAATATAATTTTTGCAACTCCAAGATACAGGAATGTTTCAAAATTTTATAATAAAATAAAATCAATAAAACTTTAATATTAATTTATTCATCCTTTTTCTCTAAATATATTAAATTGACTTTCTTATAAAAGTGTGAATGAATTTTATTATGATAATATTTAAGAGAAACTTATGATTCATAAACTATTTTTTACATTCACATGTTTTGTTATCATAATTGTTGTGATCTATGTGGCATGATAAGTAATTTTTAAGCATTAAATTGTCTGTTAAGTATTGTTTAATGTTAATGAACTAAACACACTTGAAATACACTCAAAAATCGTTAAAAAATTTTATTTATCAATTTAAAACAAATTTTAGCAATAAAGTCTTTTTTATGGATGCTTAACGAAATATTTCACTTTAAATGTTTTTAACAATTCACACCTCATACGGTTTGGAATTCGTGTACATACAAATCATAATGTACTTATATGTATGATCATTAAATGAAGCAATCTAAATTTTTGACTTTGAGACTTGAGGCGAATTACATTATTTGTCAAATAACAAAAGATATCATTTGAAGTTTTTCAAATTATGAATCATGTAAAGCTTTTCATTGATGACTGATTACTTTTCACGAAATGTATGGGATTTCTTTTATTCATCAAGTTGAAATTAAGTGGCAACAGATTCTTTTTTAGTGTATTAAATTTGACCATAGATATTTCCAGATCATGTAACAATAAAAATTGAACATTCCGAACGCATTAAATTACATGTGAAACAGCATCGAGAAAGATTATTCACATACTGACCATTTCAAGAAATAAGAAGAAAAAGAAGACGTAGGAAAGGAATTTTTAAAAAGACCTTTCATTTTCGTTTTCATTTTCGCTGACGCTCAATTTCATTTTCTCGCAGATATGTGAGTTTTGTTTCTTCTTCATTTCGTCGCTTTAGTACCCTGTTCTTCCGATTGCGGTACCATATACTATTTATTACTGGTATCGACTATGAAGATGTGTTTATTTTTTTTATGAGGAATGAAGAAAATACTTTCGACAAAAGTATTTAGGTTATATTTGGTTGATAAATATTTAATACAAGATGAAGATGAGCAAAGTCTTTGATTTTTTATCATCACCACACGTATTGTCAATTTAAGTTTTCTTATTTGGAATTAACCGATTGATTGGTAGGTTGAATAACCTTTCAAAGTGAAATTGACAGTTTAGTATTGCGAAATAATTTAATAACTTTCGGAAGTAATACTATTATAAAAAAAATCTTAAAGTGTGAAATTTAATTTAAAGTATGGGTCAAATGTGATTTGAATGTTCAATTCGTTGGCATATTCAAAAGAAATTTTGAACAATTGATTAAACAATTTCTATGTACCACCTGGCTAGCAAAAATTTAATTTAACTATCTTCTCATACCTTAGGCATGTTTGATTGTGCTTTGCAAAGCGTTAAATGAAAGAAAAAGTTTTTTTTATGCTTCTCTATAAAATGTTTTTATTTTATCTTTTAATATTTATTTCAACCGCAGAGTGTTAAATGGCAGTATATTGTCCATCTTAAATTGTTGAAATTATACAGAGAAAAATGTTAATTCATCTTAGTACTCATTTTACTTACTTGTAATGAGTGGTGGACGGTTGGAAATTTATTTCATTCAGTATTGAAGAAAACATTAGACTTTGAAAGAGAATTTGTCATCATCATAGGACCAATAGAAAAGAAGACACTTAAATAATGAATTTGCACAAATATTTACATAACCCACAACCATTGAGGTTTTCTTTTATTATAATGATGACTATAATTATTATTATTATTATTATTACTTCTTTTTATGATACTTTTGAGCGGATGTATTTATTACTAGATTAATTACTATAAACTCGTGTAAAATAATGTTCGCATGGCAGCATATTTTTTTTTTCATGTTCGGAAATAAAGATGACTGTGTTGTAAATGGAAATTTTCAACTTTTAAGCATGCCAAATTATTAACAAGTGATAAATGAATGACACAAAAATTAACTTGTAAATGTTTTTGGAACGGAGGTTTTTTTATTTCATTAAAACCCTTTAAGACAATTTGATAATATATTTTAAAATGATAAATTTTTGAATAAATTGCATTTAAATTAAAGATTGATACAAAGATCATCGACAGACTATACTTTTCTAATAATGATATCATATTTGTAATAACAGCATTTTTTTCACATTTTAGAAATGTTTCAAGCTCTTATGATTGATGATACAATCTATACAAAACAATAATTGAAGAATCGTTGATTGAAATTTAAAAATACATATTCAGATTGATAATGATATGAAAATAAATATGCTAATATCATAAAAATTCCGATGAGTAGGTCGATACAATACTAGAAATTTTTGTTTTTAAAATTAGTTCCAAATGCAAAGGCAAGATATAATAAAGAAGCATTCCATAAAACTTTTAAAATATGCAATTTTTTCATCTCCCTGTGTGTTATCAAGAGAAAATGCATATTTTTTCAACAAATACTAAAAGAAAGTGAAAAAGACAACAACGCGCGGCTGTGAATCTTCAACTGCATAATAAAATAATGTTGAAGACAAATTTTATGATTTCATTCATTTTTCAAATTTTTTTTTGCTGCATTGCTGTAAACTTCACATCACAATAAAATGAGCAGAACTTTATTTAGTTGTATTTTTTGATGTGTCCTTTTTCTGAATTAATAAATATGTTTAAATTCATTCATTTTTAAAGATTCAAATTAAAATCATTATTTTTTATACTAAAATAAATTGAATCGCTTAAAATACATAAAATTATTATTTGGAGTAATTAAGACATTTCTTAATTTGTAACAAGTTATTTGAATTGAAACTTTGTGTACATGTAAGCATGTGTATTTGAGTTTAAAACCTCGTAATTTTTAAGGTATGGTAATTTTTTCCTTTTTGATGCCAAAACAAAAAAATCCCAACAAATTTGTAAAAAATACATGTTAATGCAATATACTTACTTGTCGATACGGCGCAAGACCTTGCGATTTAATTTCTGATAAAAATACACAATAAAGCACAAATATCACTTTCATTGTTCCCATGATATTTTATTTTATTTCTTATTATTTCTCCAACTATCGTTGCTTAATTTTATTTATTTACTTTTTTTATCTTCCAAAACTGAAATTTCAACTCTTTACTTTTTCTCTCCTTCACAATTTTATTTCTTTTATTTCTTCTGACTAATAGTGTTGTGTGGAGTAAAAAATTTCCTTTCGAAATTGAACTATGCAATGTGATGACTTATCGAACTTGAAGTCTTACAATCTCTTTTCTTCTTTTCTGCTTTCCTTGGATTAACTTTATAAATTTATCTTATTTTATGTTTATTTAACTTTTTAAAATTTCTGCTCACTCCTTAAATTATTGCGACTGAACAGCACGACCGAATAAACGTAACTGAATAAAATAATACAAAAAAATTTCTTTTTGGTAGAAATGAAAATTTCTTTTACCTTTCATCTTCATATCGCAAAACTTCTCTCAAAAAAAAAAACAACAATTAAGATGAGCGTGTGTATATTGTATAAAGTTTTTTTTTCTTTCCGTGTCTACTAAGGCTGATGCTTGAGTCTACTTCTTTTTCTTCTTTTCGTTTTGTTTTGCTACTTTATTCATAGTACTTTTGATCATTTCTCAGCTCATACTTGCCATGTAAAAATGAATTTTTTTGTAAGTACTACAACAAAGAATTGCATATTGCTCTTTCTGTTTGTTTTGTCTCTCCCTCTCGATTATTCACGAATTTTTGAATTTCCAGACAAAATGATTTTAACATGCACGCAAAAGCATTAAACAAGAAACTTCACGATCTCTCAAAAGTATCAAAAAGCGGCGGAAGTGCTTTTATCTCTCAACATAAAATTTGCTTTTTATTTTCGATAGAATGCCGTGTAATTATGATTTATGTTATAATTAATACTTTTTTATTTATTTTTATTTGTTACTTAATAATAAATTGAAATTGAAAATATGATCAATGAATGAAAGAACGATCATGCGAATAATTAAGATTGGAAAATTAAAAGTTATGAAACGTCTAAGAGTCATAGCTATTGATTGACTTTTGATAAAAAAAAAATAAAGCTTTTTGAGTAAAGCATTTTTCATCCTATTTAAAAGCTTTTTAACGTTTAAACTAAAATTTGAGATTTTTTTATTCTCTAAGCTTTAAAACACCACAAATGTTTTTTGCAACAAGTTTTTGTCTTTTGAAATGTTTTAGAGCATTTCAAAGAGATTTAAAATACTTTTTATTATAGCTTGAAATATTTTATTATTAATTGATGATCAAGTTATTGACAATTAAACTCCTGTTTTCCAAGCTACGCGAAAAATGTACTGCAAATAAAACTTAATATTTAATAAAATAAAAAAAAATTAAAGTTTCAAATTTGAATCATTTTTTTATTATTTTTTATTTGTATGATTTCCTCTAGTTTTTTTGTTGTTGTTTTTTTAAAAATTATTATTGATTTAGGTTGACATAATTGATTTTATTTGAGGATTTAATGTAAAGTCAATCAAAAGGAAGTAGATTTACATGTTTGGTCTCTTAAATTCTTTAGAAGCATTCCATTTTTGTTAAATTTATCTACAACAAAAATTATTAAAAAGATTTGTCTCATTCACTAAGTTAAAAATGTATTTGCTTTTATGATTATACAATTTTTCTTTCTTGTCATCTCTGATCAACATTTCACATCCATGTTTATATAATAATATTTTTTATTTGTTTTTTTTAAATCCAGTGGAAGATATTATTTTTTTCTTTATTATTCTGATATTTTGTTTTAGTACAATAAAAATGGCTACAGTTAAAAATTCATAAGAAAATGTACAGACAAGTTTCTTCCTTTAAAGCTTATGCATAGAAGACAAAAATAAGAGAATTTGCAAAAATTAAAAAAGAAATGTTTCATCATATTTCAAATTCGAGTATAGCGACAATAATAAAAAATTTCTACCTATGTTAATCCATTTATCACTTCTTGTTTGTTGACCGATTTTGTCATAAGTTTTACTGCTAAGGTTTTCTGAACTTTGAAGTCAACATTTCTCATTGTGTTTAAAATGTTTTTAATTAAATACATTTTAAATGTTTTCAGAGCATTTTCATATCCAGAGGCAGTAGTTTTTGTTCTTTAAGACAAGTAACTGTGAATTTCGGAACATTTTAAGTTCACATTTAAGAACGAGATATAAACGGTACCGTTAATGAACAGATATTTTTACAAAAATTCTGGTTTAGATGCAAGGAGCTTCAGACACTGAGTTGTTAAACAAAAGACAGGAAATCAGTAATCATTACAGGACTTGTAGATGATTCTTAAAAGAGGCCGAACTCTTAATCAATAAAGAATTGTCAATATGACAAGAATTCGCGCAATACCCACAATATTCCAGGCGCATATCTTAATACTTATTCCTTTAAGAAAAAATTATGAAAAATGTGTAGTTTCCCAAATGACTCACAAAACTAAGAAAACCTTCGCTCATAATTTTGATTAGTAATTGAAATGAAACGTAAAATCTTTGTTTTGCTTGTATATATGTAAGCATTAATATCTTAAAGATTAAAGCAGAGAAATTTGCAGTCTCATGAACAATGTTTTTATTGTAATTTTTATGTATGCATATTATATAATTTAATGTTGATTATTATCCTAATGAGCGACAATTTCATCTTTGACTTGCCTCAATATCAGCGATGTAAATTTAAGCAAGTTCCAAAATGTTTGCTTTTTTTTTGTAACTTGCTTTAGGCATGCCCAATAGTCAGTCATTAAAAATTGTAGCATGCTAGGCATTTTCACTTTCTCATGGATGAGTTTATTTCGCACATATGATGAAAATAAAAAACGAACAAAAAAATAATTTTCAGCAATAGAATCATAGTAAGATGATATCATTAATAAATCGTATATATATATATATATATAGTAATTTTGTTCCAATTTTCAATTATCAATTAATTGGTTCCTTTAAGAGAATTTTAAACATTTTTTTGTTTCAGATTTTATCACACTCATAATGCTAAATCACATAATTACTTGTTCGCATATCTAATAAACTTATGTGTTTGATTAGGTTTGATATTCTTATCAAGTATATGTACATGTCACGCTTTTCCATAAATAGCTGAAACATCTCCGGTGCTTTGAGAATGTGACATTCCATATTTTCCTGAACTATTTATTGATGAAGACGACGATGATGAAGTATTTGAAATTGTCGAATATTGCATTGCATGATTATTTATGGTAGTCGATATCTTTCGGAATTGTGGCGGCTGATAGTACTGGCATTGTTTTTGAGTTGTTACATCTAATTCAGTTGTAGATGTTCCAAGAACTGTGAATTAACATATCTAAATTAGTAATTAAATTTTAATTCAAATTGGTCGTGTTATTATTACCTTTTATTCGATTACCATCCTTGGAATCATTTGTAATGGATGATGTTGTTGTTGCATTGTTTCGCTGATTACGATGATTTGATGATGGTGTTTTAATTTGTGGTAAAATTGTTAATGGTGTTATAGGTTGAGATCGTTGAAATTTTTGCAAAATTTGCTGTTGCTGACTTTGATGATCATTCTCTTTAAGTTGATCATTAGATCGATTGTGTTTGACTAATGATGTGGCAGATGTAGACGATGTCAATACAAACGTTGATGATGAACTACTTGGTTGTAGCCATTCGTGATGAATTGCTTCATCTGGCGTCATTCTCTTCTTTGGATCCCATCTATAAATAATTTAAAGAATGTTATTATTTAAATTTTTACTTTTAAAGTAATGAACTTACTCAAGACATTTGCTTACAAAATCAATAAACAATGTATCATTGCATCTTAGTGATTGTGATAAGGTTTTTGATCCAGGTTTACGTTTACGGCCTTTTGAATTAGTTATACAACGTGGAACTCCTCTAGAATCTGTGTAAAGTAAAAACATAGTTGTTAATATGTCGCATAAAATAATTCTTTTTTTAGATATAATAATTGATTATAAAAATATGAAAGATGAGAGTATGAACACTTTAAACATACCAAAAAAGAGACGACGACGTGTAGCTTGATTTATTAACTCATCGGGCGGTGTACCCAATAATTCCATAATACATGCTAATTGCTCCACTTCATTTTCGCCCGGAAACAAAGGATATCCGGTGTAGAGTTCTGCAAGAATACACCCTATAAAGAAATTAAAAAGTGAACAATAAGAAACGTGTTGAAAATTCCATAAATGCATAAATATTAGGAGTGACACGAAGAGTTCAATTTCGAGCTTTAATTTTTTAAAATATTTATATCCTTTTATTGTCATTGACATAGATTTGCGTAATTATTGTTCAATTATAAATAATAAATTTATTTCAGCACGCATACTTTTATTTATATTTTTATGCATTGATTTGCTTACGCAAATGAGAATAAAAAGAAAATATCAAAGAAATCAAATTTCTTAAAGCACATTACTTTAATGTTGTCCACAAGGAAAACATTATTATTCAATTATAGTGAGCACTTTTACCTCAACCGTCTACCAAAATTTCTTAATTTTTTTCTTCTTTTTTCCTTGACATACACAAAAAGAACTTCGTTAGCATAAAACATTGTGACTAGAAATGCTAGAAAAAAAGTTTATTTGCCCTTGCTGACCACAAGCTCAATTACAAAAGAAATGAAATAACATGACAAGCTAATATAGCTCGCACGATGTTTCAGGGAGTACGTTTAGGTCAAAATAATGATCAAATAAAATAAATTGTTCTTTTAGCCGTCAAATGAGCTAAGTATTGTATTACAATGTACAATAAATCCCGTACAGTGTAATTCACTTAACACGTGCACAATGCAAGAAACAACCGTTTGAACAACGTGCGTGTAAATCTATTATTGAGCAAATGTTTTGATTTATTTAGCATTTTACATTAGTATTCCTCAAAAATTAATTTAATTAGGTGCGAAGTTAGAACATGATGAGTTTTCATCATACTATGTGAAAATTAATTTATTTTAACAATATTTTGCTGGTTTTCTTTAGCTTAATTAATTTTAAAAAGATAGCTTTTGACGACAGCACAAAAAAATTGTAAAGGTTGACATTTCTTAGTTAAAAAATTACCTAAGCTCCACATATCGATTCCTGTACCATAAGAGAGTCCAAGGATAACCTCAGGAGCGCGATAGAAGCGAGATTGGATGTAGGTGTAAACTTTTCTATGAGAATAGCATGAACTGCCGAAATCGATAACCTTTATCGAACTACTTCCTCGTTGTTTTAGTAAAACGTTTTCCTATGAAGCAAATATTGCAAAATAAATTATTTTGTAAGATGAGAAAAAAAATAAAAATTTCATTGAACTTACCGGTTTGAGATCACAGTGAATTACTAGAAACAAAAAAAAAAAGAAAAAAAAATGGAATTAATTATCGTTAAAATTGGTAAAAATAAATTTAGTCATTACCATTTTCATGATAAAGTAAGCGCAAACATTTAACTATAGAATTGCAAAAACGTCGAATGAGACTTAAGCTGAAGCCTTGATAATTATTCTTTTTTATTAGTTCATAAAGATTTAAGCTGAAAGTAAAGAAACAGAAAAAGGAAAAATAAATATTAATGAAAATTTGATTTACATTTTTGTTTGTGTTTCACTTTTTTTGGCGTATTCCCCTTCAAAATAAATTAATGAATCACATTTCCAAACTACGTCAGCTTTCGTGTATGAAGGAAATTTGCCGATGAAAGAAGAAAATTTGAACTTACAGAAATAAAAATAAAAAATATTTCTTTACTAATTAATTTCTTTTTCACACGATGAAGATACAACATTTAATTTTTGAATTTCTTGGTTTTTTTTTTCTCATTCAACACCCCCTATTGTTTTTAATATTTTGATAAATTTTTTCTTGAAAGAAATCTATCGACTATAAAACAATCTACATTAATTTGATTTTACGAGTATAATTTGCATGAAACAATCCTATAAACAGATAGCGAGTTCATAAACTTGAAATATAAACGTTTTCAATACTTATAAGCTTTTCAAATTCTTAACTAGATATTTAATACCTAGTATTATTTGGTAGCATAGTCAAAATGTTACAAGAAGTTGAAAAACTTATAATTGTTACCAAAATTTCTAACAATTTTCATTCATTTTAGCTCAAGAATATCTCAATTTGTGGGTATATGCCTGACGGTTTATTTTATTCACACCGTTTTCACGTGTGAATCTATTGGTTTTGTTCAGATTGAAAAATCAGTTTTTCGTTATAAAAGGTCCTAGAGGAAAAGTTTGTGCCTGAAATTTTGCTTCATTTTCAAAAAACAGATGTCAAATTGGTTGTAGCCATGCTGAGAAAATCGCAAAATACGCTTTCTGTAAGCAAGCAAGCAAGTTAATCAGCAAGAAATCTCAATAACGAGATATCGTAGAGACTTCTAGTTTTTTACATTTGATCCGTGCTGCTCTATAGAAGAGCTGTATTGTTTTTGGGCAAGGTAGGAACAGCCGTTGCTTCAGAAATAGCAAAAAGCTTTCCATTCTTACGAATTTTTTAAAACAAAAGTTGACTGTGATTTTTATAAAATTCAACTTTGGATGAAAAATTTTTTTAAAAAACTTTTAAAGAATGTTTGGCATATTTGTCAAGCGTTAAACCTTCAAACTTATGCTGAGAGAAGCTCAGCTGACTCGCAAGCTTTGCTTGCTGAGCGAAGCTCAGTTAACTTATCAAGCTTTATACATTCAAACTTATGCTAAGCAAATCTTGGTCTATCCATAAGACTTTTGATGGTACGGTGTGAATGTAATCCGCATTGGGTTTCAACCCGATACACTAGTTTTCCTATTGAAGTTGCATAAACCTGAGCTAGAATATGTATAGGTGATAAATTAACAACTTATAGAAATTTATTCTGTGATTGATATTAAAGTTGACTTAGCTTGTTATGTTGCATAATCCATATCAAATCAATAAAGTATAAAACCGTGTAGTTACAATTACAGAGAGTAAAGAAGAACTGTTTTGTTCTCCCCTTGATAATATTCATGTGCGTATATATTATTATGTTGTGATAATAATAGAAGCATTATCATTATATTGTTAGTAAACTTTATGATTGTGCACAACCCTATTTTCCATATACAAATTTTTTGGTGAGTTAAAAATAACTCTAGAAAAGGACATTACAATAAAAATAATTTAATTTGTTGCTAACGACTGGGAAAAAATTACAAAAAAAAGTTTTTCAATAAAAAATTCTTTTTTGTTACTTCTACTAGCTGACTTTGTTACTTTATACAAATACTTAATTAAACTGACATAAAAATTAATGAAAAACTACTGCTCATATTTTGCCTTATCAAAGTTTCCTTTCTTGTTACACGATGGTACCGTTTCGAGGAGATTATTTCCGATTATGCTAATGTCTTCAGGTTCAGAATTATAAGAATAAAGTCAAGTATATTTTTTCTTCTTACTTTTTTCATAATTTTTATTTTCACGAACATTGGAAACTTCAGGAAAAACTTTCCCATGCTCATGTTTTCATGCTTAGAATGTGACCAATTGTTTTAATATTATAATAGTAAATTAGCAATTGATGTGACCAACAAATTTGTTTCAATAAGAGGAACATAAGATTTTTAAAAAGATTTATATTGAGGTACACATATCCGAAATACGAATGTATTGATGAAGATTTTAGAATACTAAAGCGTATTAACTTGGTTTACTTGTAAAAGAAAGACTAATTCCAAAATTCTGAACCACAGACAGACAAGAAAAAGTGCACACGAAAAAAGTTCAATGAAGCTTTTGAAATGCAATAAAATGTAATAAATATTATAAAGACTTCCCTTCCAATTTTTTATCATCAAAAATTTGCTCGTTTTATTTGATTTGAAGGGAAAGAGCATACGAAGTCAAATGAAATATTGAAGAAATACGTTGAAAAAATCAGGACATAATTTATTGGAAGTATATACAACATGAATGTTTAAAACAAAACAACTTATCTTCATTTAATAAAGAACCTTATTGAAGTTGAGAAAAGTTTCTTTATAGATTTTTTAGTGATAACATCAATTTTTGAACAATTCTTTTCGAGTTTTCGGCTGCAGAATCTTTTAAAATTTTTTGTTAAATATTTTTGATGCGCAAGCAATGAAGTCTCCTGAAAATTTGAGGCTTAGGATTTGTCACAACTCTGTAAAATATTTCTTTAACTTTAAATGACGTATTCAACTTCTATAAAAAATTTCGTGCATGAGCTGTAAAAATTTCACTGTTTTGTGCTAATGAAGAATTTTTTTAAATGTCAGGTTAAAAATGCAGTCAGCATTTCCTCGTAAAAACCGAAAAAAACTCATTTAACTTATCATGGCTCTTTAAAATTTACTGATTAGGAAATGTGGAATAATTTAAAATAGATTTGCTTGAGAAATTAATGAAACAAAAAAAAATATTTTTCATTGTCAACGATAATGTCAATATTGCATGAAGACTTTATGAATGAGGAAGTCAGTTTTTATAAATATTTTTAAGAATGACCTTAAATGAATTTTTTGCAACGCATTTGTAGAAAATGAAGCTTAAAAGAAGCTTATTTTCAACATACCTTTCATTTTTTTTTAATTTAAAGAGGGTTAGCCCTAATTATGGACCTTATTGTGTAAATTTAATGGTGATTGTCAATTATTTTGTCCTAGTTTCTAATATTAAATGTGTTTGCTTTCGTTGTGACATATGACTCGTTTTATGTTCAAGATTTCCTTTTTTCTATCTTTTGTAGTCAAGATGTCTGCATTACAATGGAGCATATGCAAATGATTTGCAACATTCTCATAAGCTAAACAAAGGAATTTTCTTTCATTTTAATTTCTTCGTGTAAAATGTAGGCAGAAAATTTGTTGTAATGATAATCGTGTGCACATTTCAATGTCCTTGCTGACATTTTATCGATTTTTGTCATGTCTGTCTAAGTATCTCTGTTTTTGTACCCATTTTTGAATTTATATAAATAAATCTTATCCTGTCTGTCGGTTCTATTTTCTGTTTATTTTTTATTTCATTTTTAAACGACATCTAATATATGGGTAAAAAATTTTCTATAATTTTCATTTTTTTCTTTACTATTCTATATAACATTTATCTTGTTTTATAAGCATGAAGAAGTCGCATATTGCGCGGCTCTTTTTATTAGAAGGGTGCAACTTTATTTAATATCGTGACAATAAAAACAATGCAATAAATTATATTCGATAAATTTAGTCTTGATATTTTCCCTATTTACTGAGTAAAGGAAAATATAGATTAAAAATGGAAAAAGAAACTACAAGGAATATATTTTTTGCATACAATGAAATGAAAAAATTCTATTTCTGTACTATTACAACTATTGATATTGCTTTTATTGTCCTTATATTACACTGTCTATAAATAGCTACCTTATGTATAGAAATTGACAAGAGAACAATTTTCTTTTAAACACCAAGTGACTATGCAAGAAACCCCAATTCCTGTCAAATTCTGTTCGTTTCAAGCTAATCGATAACTTTGCATACATGAAGCTTCATCCATTTGTCATATTGGGAATATTTTTCTAAATAATATATCATGTTTCATGATTAAATAACTCACCTCATTAACTCAAAACTTATGCACAAATGATTCCTGAAGTAAAAGTAATCCAACATATGGATAATATTATGAGATCCATCGGCATCTTTCTTTCTTAACTCGTCCAAAATTCGAACTTCTACGAGTGCTTGATGATGAAATCGTTTCTTATTACGAATGATTTTGATTGCGACATATTGATTGGTTTTATGGTCTAGTGCACGAATTACTTGACCAAAACTTCCTTTGCCAATCACTTCCAAAATCTCATACCGATAGCAAATATGATCATGAATGACCTGCGTAATTTTCAATGAAAAAATATAAATAAAATGTCATTTAAGCAATGTCAGTAAAGTCATAAAAAAAATATCGTACCTTATTATAGCTTCCGTTTTCATCATCATATCCACAATTCAATGGAGTTCCTGGTTTTGCATTTATCTTTACTGCTTCTAATCCTACGTACCAAATTTCTGGATACTTTTCAATCTCTTGCTTCTCATAGTCACTTAGTCTACTTCCATACTGTTTAAGAACCTCTGTAAAAAATTTTTAAAAAAAAGAAGAATTTGTTGAGTTCATTAATCATATAATAGCATTGTGTTTAACTTCATTATGATTTTCTAATCAAATTAAGTTATTAACTGAAGAGAATTGAAAATGAAAATGGGATTTTTTTTTTGCAAAAAAACCATAATAATGTTATGGTATAAAGAAGGAAAACGGTGTGAAACAGCTGAAGGGTAAAATCTATAAAGTATAGAAAATATGTGGAACAAATTCAAATCAAAAAGTTCTATATTTGAACTTTCGTATACCTTAACTTTCTTCTTTTAACCTTTAATAAGGCTTTACACAAATCTATAACGAAACATTTACTTCCCACGCCAATTTACTTCTTTGATACTTTTTTGAAGAAATTAAAACTCACCTGAAGTTGTCATTGAAACTGGCTTATGGTGTTCAACATTATCACTACTACTTGATGAATTACTACTACTGACTGGACTAAGTGGGATACTGTTTCCCTGTGAATCTATAAAGAGACCATTGGAATTACGAACACGTGTCGTTGACGTTTTTTGATCACTGTGTTGTCTCATTGCATTTGATGATACACATAAATTTGACAAATCAATTCGTGAATCACGACGCAATTTATCGTTCTCTAATTGAACCTGAAAAAAGAGTAAAAATAAAGTAAAATTATAAATTGCTATCGTAATAAAGTTTTATTCATAAAGGCATATTTTATTGCAGTATAAGAAATAAGTGTAATTATGATTTTATCAATTTCATCACATAGAACATGCACTTCATATGATTTCCATATTTACTTTGTTTGTAATCATAGACCTTGCGCTCAGCACGAATAAAATTGATTCTTATGTTCAATGTAAAAAGAATTGCTTGCTAGCATGTCGTGATGTGATAAAATAATTGAATATATTATTATGTATCTTTCTACTGCAATATCAAAGTATGTATGAGCAACAGGTTTAACGAAAAAAATATCCAAGTACAATAAAAATATATCTTGAAGTTAAGCAATATGATTTTACTATTTTGCTGTTTTTTCATTCATTTCCTAAAAGTACTTTTCTCAGCTTTTTATAGACATTTGCTTTATTTGATTTGTTTACTTTTATTAAATATTTTTTTCTCATGCCGTATCAACTTTACACATTGCTGGTATGCATAATTCTTTGTGAATTTGCTATAATTTGTACATACATGAAAATGAAAACGATAAGTTGGGGAGGTTTTCCATAACATTTAATGTTTTATCGAATGTGTACATAAATTTGACGCGCATTCGTTAGGTAAATATTTGAAGAACTGAAGCAAAACATATTATCGAAAAGTTGTAAAAATTATTTCGTATCATGAACATCATAAAAATCATATAAACTTAATTAGAGTACAATTTGACCAGAATATCATGAAAAACTGTGAAAAAAATAATAATAAATTGCTCACTCTATAGGAATTTCTAATTAAATCAATATTAATTCAACTATATTGAATAAATGATATTTGTGAAGCTCATAAGCTTACAAACACGCCCTCATACTTCATTAGTATTCCATTTCTGATAATAATAATTTATCAATAATTTATGCAAGAAAATGCAAGCAAACAAGTGTTTTAGAACAAAGAATGAAATTTTTGAGAGATGAATAGACTGAATCACATGCCATCTATTTGTAATTCACTATTGGTCTGAACTCAAATTCTGAGTTCATAAAAATTATAATTTTGAATCCTTTTTCAATTTTAAATCAAAGTTTACGATCATTTAAGTATCATAATAAAAATATTATTCAATTAAAATGATTAAAATACAAAATAAAAAAAATTTAAAATTAGAATAAAAAAAATCAGTAATTTGCATTATTTATAGTTACGATCTAGTTTCATGCTACTAGTATGTAGAGCTAATCTACATATTGAACTCATGTAAACTTTTATTTTCAATTAATCAATGGGAACAAGATAGTTTACATTCCACTATTATTATATAAAGTTATTCGCATCTTATCATTTGAGCAGCTGTCAATTAACTTATGTGAATAATATGTTTTGTGTTTGACTCTATATACTTACTGGTCCTCGATCCAACATGTCAACTTTTTCTAATTTATTGTTGAATAATCGTAGATTTGTAGATTTTTATTAGATCCAAGATGTAATTTTTCTATCTTTCTTTTCTATTTTTAAATAATCTTGTGTTATGCACGCTTAAACCAACAATTGTTTGTTTACTTTTAAATTTTTCCAAAAGCATGTGCTTCTAAAACATTACTTATAAACAGTGAAAATAAAATCTTTTCCTTGCTCTTGTGTAACTCAGCAAATCATGTCAGCATTGAACAATAATCTAAATTAAGAAAAGAATGAAAAGAAGTTGTTGTTGTAAAAATAATAAAATAGTGTACACTTATAAAGTTATAGATTTGATTAGCTTGCAAAACTATTTTATTGCGTTTAAGAATTGTTTGATGATCCTATCAATATTTCAAATTCAAACATTTCCGCAAAGAATGACCCATTGCTAATGCTTACTATCAGCTAGCGTCTGACCTATATAATGAGCAACTTTATTGTTGTGCAATAAAAATAAGAGATAAATTAGTAATGACTGAATTCTACGCAAATGAATAAAATAATATTATTAAAAGCTAAATATGAAAATTTTCATTCAGGAAGTCTCGCGACACAAAATTTATTTTACTTGCTCTCATTCTTCTTACTATTATGAGTTCATAAACGCAAAATAAAAAACCAAGACTCGCGACAAAATGATAAATACAGTAATATACTCATTCATTCATGCCATGAAAATAGCAATAAACTTGTCACCATTAAGCATTAAGAGGATTTCCCGAGAAAATTTTTTCAATTTTTTTTTGTAATTCATAGAGTATTTTCAGAATACACTAATGTTTTTCTCGGCCAGATGTATATATTCATTCGTAAAGATAATAATGAAAAAAAAAGAAATGATGATAGATTGAAAAGGTCTCCATCAGAGAACTCTAATTGAAGGCTTAATGTCTTGCTGAATATGCTAAACAGATATTTTATTACTTTTTAATTTAAAATCATAAAAATTAGAAGAACAAACGAATTTAGTGATGCTTTTTAAATTAAACTTATTTTCAAAACGTGTCAACAATTAATAAAATATTGTAATTATTGAAAAAATATGTATATATTTTCAATCTAAGAGCTCACAAGCATGTGTTAGCCATGTTTCCTTTTTTTTTGAAAATTTTCATGGTCAAGTATCAGCTTTTGATGCTGATTCTTTAAAAAAAATTAAAATGGACTTTGGTTTGTAAGTAGGATGACTAAATGAAAGTGAAATTAAAATGATGTTCTTAAAATAGCTGTAGTTTAATAAGAGGAATAGTGAAAACATTGATCATAGATATATGGTATTCGCATATTCCAAACGAGTTATCTATGTCCATCATTCCAACTTTCTCTCTTACTATAAAATAAAAGTAATGGCAGTACTAACCCACTGCTTATTAGTTGCAAATATGGACAGATATAATGTAAAGCTTAATTAGTATCTTGTAATTTCATATATTTGCTTCTTAATACAGTTTTTGAGAAACATTCAATATTTATAAGTTCAATCAAATTTTGTATACTTTAAATGCAACTTAATTGTTTGTGTGTTTGACTTAAAATATAACTCTAGAATATATTGATATTTTTTAAATCAATAATATTTATATTTTGCAAAAATTCAATTAGTTTTTATAATTTGCAAGCCCATCACGGGCCTCTCATTTCCATTTGTTAGTATATGTAGAAAAAATATTGCACAACTTGCTTCAAACGACACAAATAAATTTACTTCTATTTATATGCGAACTCGAAAATTTCTCAATTTTAGTTTTTTTTTGTTGAAAAATCACGAAATATTAAAAAGATTTATCTGTGTTGACTCACATTTGAAATTTAAAGTCAATATGTCTTAAAAAATCATCAATATGTGTTGATTTATTATGTTTAATTAAATTTTATAAACTGAGAACTGAATTTTTTAGGCAGTTTTTTTGTTTTTGTTATGAAAGAGAGAAGTAGAATTAGAACCGTGTCACTGACACATTAAAGAGAATAAATGTGTCGTTTTATGGTTGTATTCTTATCACTGTAATTTATTTCTATTATTTGTATGTGTTTGTAGATTTATTTCTGTAGATTAATTACACATTTTTATGCATCATTAGTGAATTAAACATTCACATATGTACAGGTAGGTAGACATGCCTTGATGATTCACAAAGAGTTTGTAAATTAAAAAGAAATTAAAAAGCAAAGAAATTTTTTTAGAAAAAAAAGAACAGTAAAGTATTAATGAATTGACACAGACTAAAAATAAGCAATAAAAAACAAACTGGAACTGAAATGGAAATAAAGTGCTTTACACACAAAATTTTTTACATGTAAATGTGAAAATGTATTGCAATCTTACGGTCAATGAACACAACAGAAACAAAAAAGTAATAATGTAGAAGAGATAAATTGGAACGACATAGCGTAATAAACTCAATTCGACAAAAAGCCGTATACACTTAGTTCACGAAGTCAAGCTTCCTATATACCCACACACATCTTTCGGTGCACTTGAAATTGTATATGATTAACGTTAATATCTATTGACGTTTGATGGATCAAAAGCCGTTCGAAGAATGATGTTTATCATAACTCTAACTTTAATTATTATATCACTTTAATACTAAATTTATCATGATGATTGAATTTTATCTAATCAATTATTCTTAATTGTATGATGAAACACTTTATCAAACCTGATATAGTTTTTTCCTTGCTTTGAAAAATGGTTGCATTTATGTGATTATATTTTTTTGTATTTAATAAAAACAAGGTGTTGCCATCTTGAGGGACACAAAACTACGAAAAATTAAGCTTTGAATCGATTTTAATGAAGTTTTGCTTAATATGATTTGTATAAAGACATTGCACTTTAGTTAAAAATTGCAAATATTTAAAATAAATCTGAAAGAGTGTATCCATAAGGAAACGTTGTCCAATAATGATTAATTGTTCACACTATGACTCAGTAGGCAAATTACAGTTAACAAAGAGACAACTTCGATCACGACTACAAGTATGCATGCAGTCATAACAATGGTACATTCTGTGTAAAGCTTACAAGTCCTTGCACTCCAAAGAAAAAAAAAATCTTAATGTAAATTTACAGCTTAAAACGACTTAAAATACAAATTGCATTATATGAAATAATTAAATTAAAATTAATAAATTAACTTCTTTGAAATTTTTTCAAGTTCGAAAGTCGGTCTGGTTTTCAAAAATAATCATGCTGACAGACTCGGAAAAACAAACTACTAAAATAATATTTCACAAAAATTTATGAATTAAATGCAAATGATTCATAATAGAAGGAAGTTTACTGAAAAGGCAGAATAAATTAATACAAGTCAATATTATAAAGACAGTCTTCTTTGTATGCCTCTCTTTATGAATTGCAAAAAAGAAAATAAATTGAGAAGTTGCTCGCTATATTACCAAAAAATAAGACTTGATATTTTTATGATAAATTTCAAAATTGGCTAGATGCATGCAAATATCAAATAAATCAAGATACTTTTATTCTTACAGGTTGAGTAAATAACATTACAATAATCACAATTACGAAATAGAATTATAAAAAAATGATACTAGATTTTCATATAATAAAAAATAGTTCAGCACATATAACTGACCTACAAAAACGATGAAAGCCTGAATCATTGATTGATCTTCTTTCTATTTCTCATATATCTCTTTTTATAGTTTATAGCTCAATTTTATATTTTATTCGATTTTTAACCTCGTATAATCAAGTACACCACTCACATTGCAAGAATATATAGATTAACAATTATAATTTTATAGACTTTATTCTATTTTAATATGAAGGCATAGAAGAAATTTAAATTAGCTTTATATGTATGTGAAAGTTTAATAAAAGAACAAGAGCAATCATCGTGGTGGTGTCGAAGAAGTCATAAAGAAACCTTAGGCAATCATTCAACAGCATCGTAACGCATTTGACCTAAAAATAAACCCAAGCTTATGGTGTTTGATCATCAAACTATCTATCTCTAACTCCCTCAAATGTTTAACTTGACCGAATTTCGCTTGCCTCTTCTTTTTATGTGTGTTTTTTTCTCTTTAATTAAATTTCAAAATGTGTTTTTAATATCGTTTGATGCCAAAAATAAAGAATTTCATGAAATAAGAAAATAATCTTCATCATCGCGTGCTTTTCGTGTGATGCAAAACGATTGATGAGAAAAAAGCATTTAATGAATAGAATGGATATTGTTGACCCATTTTTAATAGATAGAAAAAATAATCTTTTTTGACGGATACATTCATTATTATACATGTCTTTTCTTTCTCTTGGATACGTGGATTTAATGTGTAATTTTAATCATGTCTAAGAGTGACTATAAATAGTAAATCAGCTTTATTTGTTTCTTTCTTACTCATATCCTGCTTTTGTAAATTTTCTATGCCAATAAGTTAAAGTATTAAAGGAAAACAATAAAAAAAAATTCTTGACTGATTTATTCACACTTTCATTTCGTTTCAATTGCAATTCAATACGTAAACCTGTACGTATATTCATTCTAAGAATACTTAATATTGCAAACAAAATGCAATCGACGGCAGAGCAGCTGAACTGCAAGTAAAATTGAGTAAAACCAGTTTTTAATGCTGGCCTGAAAAAATAGAAAACAATAATTGATATAAACGAGGCAGCATGCTGTAGTTCAAATGTATGAAAGAAGAATACATCAGTAGCATCGAGAAATTGACAAATACAATGAAGAACAGGCAAAGCAAGTGCACAACAAATAAGCAGAAAAATGATAAATAATAAGATAAATGTTGCTGGATTTTCTTAACCAAAATATAAAATATGTACAAGCAATAGTTATATAAGACATAATTCGTATTGAATTTGTGTTTCTTAAGAATCTTTCTCGTGAAAAATTCAATGCCATTCAGTAGCGACAGGTTAACGAACTGCATTCAAGACTGCAATATTTTTAGACTCTTTATTTTTTTCTTTACCTGAATTTAAATTTTCTATATGTGAGACAATTTTCTTAAGTCAAATGTGAACTGGTTGTTTTTTTTTTCTTTCAAAGATTTAACACCGTACGAAATTTCGTCACATTTTAAAATATTGAACTCATAACAAATGTGGTCTTGAAAGCAATTTCATATTATATTTCAGAACATTATAATGAAATTTTTATAAACGCATTAAACTCTGTACATTAAAAGAAAGATTGAAAAGTTGAATGAACTTGTAGCTCATACAGT